GGTGATACTAGACTAGAGGATTTCTAGGAATGATGCCTCAAGAAAAAACAAATATTGACTTATGAATTGATATTATTGTTATTTCTATAATATTAGTAAAATATGATGAAGATGTCTATATCTAATTTTATATACATCAGTAGTACTAAGAATTGCAATTGTTTAATGAGGGGAAAAGGGAAAAATATGGGGAAGAAAGGAAGATCAAGGAAAAAATACTGGATTGTGCAGTACTGAATAGATTTATATTGAAGAACTTAATGTTAAATATGTGAACCCAGACAACATGTTGTTTACTAAGCTCTAAAGATTGTAATTTTAAAAAAATTAATAAAACCTGTAAAAAAATCCTTCCAATAATTGCCTCTCCACACATTGGCTAATCAACTATTTTTCATTTGAAACGCACATATACAAGAGTTTTGATTACAGGCTGGTTACCATTTTTCCTGGCTTGACCCTCATTGTAATCCAAGATGGAACTCGTTCTTTCATCATTTTTGAAGATACTTTCCATTACACAAGAATTGTTGTTTATAGAAATGTCATCTGTGCTATACTCTGGAAGTGATCTTCTTTTATCGTAAGCCAGAGAAACCTGGCTAGAAGATGCACTCCAAATGCACCCAGAGCCACAATAAAACATTATTACATACAATAAAAATTAAATCATAATTATATACTTTTCAGAACCTTACTTTCCATGATGGCAGCCTCTTCCTTGAGGTGTCGTAGTCGATCAGAACTTATTTGGAAGCTCTTGGGCAGGACAACATGCCATTTGCTCTGATTTGGGGTCTTTGCCCTTTCACAACTTGGAATGACAAATAGCCTTTTTTCCAGTTCTGATGTAGTGATATGTGGGGATGACCTTGGGAGACAGGAGGAAGATCTGCAGCTTAGGCAATGGTCTGATAAAAGGCAACTTAGTCCACAGGTGGAGGAAAAGTTTCAGAACGTATCCTCTCTAGTTTGCCAGAGACTAAAAAGAGAGAAGAGAAATACTTTCAGTCTTTTCAAGATTCTGTTAATGTAACTTTACAAGTAGGATTAGTTAATCTGGGTGTGCTTCTTGTATGGTCTTCCTTGCAAGACTGACACCTGGAATTTTATTTCTTTGACAATTTACTGACCAAACACCGGAAATAGATTAACTTTTTGCTAGTCAGCTAACTAAGGTATGTAGAAAGCACATCACAATAGTAATGGGGGACTTTAATTATCCTGACATCAACTGGGAGACAAACTCTGCACCAAATGGAAGATCAAACAGATTCCTGACAAACCTAGCAGACAACTTTGTCTCCCAAAAAGTAGAGAAGGGAACTAGGGGATTACCCATTTGGGACCTAATTCTCACTAACAGAGATGAAATAATAGAAGGTGTTGAAGCCATAGGAACCTTGGGAGGAAGTGATCATGCAATATTGGAATTTGATTTCTTTGACAATTTACTGATGTTCCTGGTGGTTTTCAGGAGTTGATATAAGAAAGTTTGTATTCTGCAACATGTAGTTCAGCTTTTTGTGCAAATTCATCCATATTTGAGCAAGTTGAATGAGCCAGACCCATACATTGTCTAGGCACAGCATGTAGCAAATGTGTTTTGTTTAATGCAGTTTTAAGATTTCATGTGAACCAAGCACAGAGACATGCACTGATTCAACTCCAACTACTAATGCTTGCTCTGTCAGGTCTTTCTCTTAGGAGTTGTGGGCCAAGGAAAGCGAGGTGCATGAATAAATGAACAATAATGTACAATGTGCTGTGAATTGTATTGTCCTTTTTAAAGTGTCCTTTCCCCCTTCTTCCCCAAAAGCTCAACTATGTACAGTAACTCAAGGAAACACTAAAGTTTGGAACTAGTTAGTGAAACTCAATTTGTTTCCACGTGTTGCACCAAGCCAGGTCAGGGTTACGTTGTTGCTCATGGTTATTTTTTATAACTTTGCCCATGTCTTTAGGACATCCAATGGGACAATGGGGCAGTTATTGTTTGACTGATCTTTAGAGCACACATGTTCTTAGAAGTTGTTATGATTTTTGCAGATTGCTGCAATGCACAGAAAATATCAGTATTGGACTATTCTCCTCCTCCTCCTCTTCCTCCCCCATTTGAAAAAAAATAAAACTAATTTACAGTTTACAAGTCTATATCTAAACAACGTGGTCAGACTAATTTGCCTTAGTAGTAGAACTGAATATTTTTTGTTCAGGTAACATTCTGGACCTGGCAGTTTTTTTCAACATGAGTTTAAAGTTTATAAAGACATTTGATTGTAGTGCATATTAATAATAGCATTTTCTGTCACTTGTAAACAACTAGTAGGCATGTCCCAAGAAAATAATGGGAAATGTTTAATTTCAGTAAAGCTGAAACTGAATTTTTCTTTCCATTCATCAGAATTATGTAAATGCATAACTTTAAAATCCAATTGCAAAATAATATTGATTTAACCTAAAAATCTAATACAAGCATTTACATGCTCTGCTGAAAAAGACACTTGGTCTTTTCTAGCATGCAGTGCCTTCCAGATTTTTAATATTTTAAGCTATGCTTGACTGAGCCCAGTACTTGTTCTGTGAGGCCTTACATAATTTGGAAAAGTTAGGAATTGTAATCATGGTATATATATATATATATATATATATATATATATATATATATATATATATATATATATATATATATGTAGTTTGGACTTAAAAATATTAATGGTAGCTAAATGCTTTTCACTATTATATGAAAATGTATTGAATGTAGCTGGAAATTTGCCAACTCCTTTACAAAGTCCATATACAAATATACTATATATGTTCCATGTATTTGCTTCTGAATGAAGGCTGGACCCAAACAAGATTCTTTGTAGAGTAGATGACTTCTTCATAGTATTGCTGTTGTGAATCACATTTTCCTCTCCCATAACTGCTACAGCAGAAATCCTTCTGTGTTGCCTTTTTGACACTTTGGTCTAGCTTCTTAGAGTGGAATCTATCACCGCTTTCAATTGTCTCCAACCATTTTGCTTTGCTTCCCTCTGGTTTCCTGATGCAGTGACTTCAGTTCCATTTTTCCCCGTTTTCTGTCTCAACATTTTTTCTTACTTCCAAAATGATTTGTTCCTTATGATCTGCCCTGCCAGCCTCTCCTGTTGATCTGTTCCCTCTCTGAGTTGCCCTTCAAACAGCGGTTGAACAACTTTCCCCCCAGCACTTTAACTGGGTCATATCCCAACCATTTTATTGTCTTATTAAGAATGCACAATCTTAGCTTTCTGAAATATTTTTCCTTTGATGGAAAAGACAAGTATTTTGAACTTCAGGATTTGCATACATAGAAACATAGAAAACTGATGGCAGAAAAAGACCTGGTGGCCCATGGAGTCTGCCCTTTGATTTTTTTATTTGATTTTTTTTTAAAAATTGTTGGATGATGGACATATGTTTATCCCAAACATGTTTAATCATCAATAATCATCAGTAATCATCAGTTACTACTGATTGACCCTCTACCTCTGCTAGAAGTTGGTTCTGAGCTTCCACTAGTCTTTCTCTGAAATAATACTTTCTAACATTACTTTTGAACTTACCTCCTGTCATTCTGAGGTTATGCCGCCATATTCGTGATTTTTGCTTAATATTGAAAATATTGCCTCCTAGAGCCTTATTCACACCCTTAATATATTTAAAGGTTTCAGTCATGCCCCCTATTTTCCTTCTATCATCCAGGCTGTACACATTCAATTTCTCAATCTCTCCTGATATGCTTAGCCCCTGAGATCTTGCACCATTTTTGTTGATATACTAACAATATATATTTTCTGAGGTTTTCGCGGGTGTTTGTATGTAGGTCTTTGGTTATTTGGGTTTTCTCCCGCGTAAAATTGGAAGTGTCTTGGCGACGTTTCGACAAAGTCCCATTCGTCATCTTCAGGCTGGTGTTTTTGGCTTCGTGCTTCTAGGAGCAATGTGTGATCGTAGCTGTTTCTTCCTTCTCCCACTGGCAGTTAAAAGAAAGAAACAGCTATGATCACACATTGCTCCTAGAAGCATGAAGCTGAAAACACCAGCCTGAAGATGACGAATGGGACTTCGTCGAAATGTCGCCAAGACACTTCCAATTTTACGCGGGAGAAAACCTGAATAACCAAAGACCTACTAATAATATACTGTATACTATATAAGAGTGAGTGGAAAACTCATCAGCATTGTTTATTTTCATCTCTTAATCGACACTTGAACCAAACATTACTTTTTCATAGAAATTAGAAAATCCTTACTCTAATGCAAATACTTAAAAAGATGAATTTGATGTGTTTATTCCACCTTAGATTTAAGCAAATCTATCTTGTCTCTCTTTTTAAAAGTCCACTCATTTTTTTTCAGGTCACTGGCCAGATACAAATTTTTGGAGCTAAAGATATACCAGTTTGCCTTCCACTCTTTAGAGATATTTTCTTAAAGTGAAGCAGCAATTCTTTATTACTTTTGGAATGCAGATGGCTACCTAGCAGAAAAAAAGTATTTGCTATTGCCCATTTTTTTATAACTGTCCCAGAGGAAATTGAAGTTACTATTCAACAAGAGCTTTGTGTTGAATTTAAAGAGGCCTGTATTCTTTTATAAGACTACATATAAACAACTTGATATTTCAGTATAATTTACAAGAAGAGATATTTTGTGATTTTTTTATTGACTTTTAACTACCATTATGTTTAATTAAATATTTTCTGCATCAGTTACTCAGCAGCTGTATGATCTCTTACACCATTTCTCCATAACTCTTCAGGGATCAGTCTTATGAATATAAACACATAAATATAAAACTTACAAACTCACACCGACAAAAATACAGACACACATACATCCATAAAGCAAGTATGTTGTGGTAACCTGTATTTATATGATAATATGTCACTCTTTTAATTTCAAATGAAAAATATGCTTTACTTGCTGTAGTAATATTTATCTGTCTCTGCATTTTCCCCCCTTTTGGAAAGGTATTCAGGAATCTCCTATACCAAATGGCCATTCACTTCCGGGTCGAGACTTCCTTCGGAAACAAATGCGGGGAGATCTCTTCACTCAGCAACAATTAGAAGTATTGGATCGAGTTTTTGAAAGACAGCATTATTCTGACATCTTTACGACAACTGAGCCCATCAAACCAGAGCAGGTAATATTTAAAGCTTAGTTTTTGGCATCAATTATTTCATATTTGTCACTTGCAATACTGTCTCCAACGTAAGTTTTAACTGAATACTTTTTATAATTGGAGAACCATATTTGAAAACAAGTATTATCACCTTCAGTATTATCATGTTCAGTTGTTTTTTTTACTATTCATGAATTCATAATTGGGATATTGGGAATCTGAAATTCATTCTTTCAAGTGTATACATAGTGATACTGTAGAAATGCAAATGCAGGAGGAGAGTGAGGACGCAAGAATTCCCATTAGTTCACGAAAAATTAAAGCACCAACAAAATGCACGGTAAAAATAAATTAAATTAGAGTAAAGGACTCCTACTGCAGAATATGAAGGGGAGTATGTGAGTTAGCAGGACTTTTTTTTAAAAAAACTCTATGCAATCCAATGTTGATTTGTGTTTCACATATGTATTAAATTAACCAGGACAACAATACCTTTAAGTCAGAGTGTTCAACCCTGTTTGGGATAAGGGACCAGTTGGGATTTTGTTTGGTCCAGATTGCTGCATATTCTGAAATAAATTAGGAGAACAAAAACTAAATTTGTTCAACTTAAATTGAAATAAATTCAGTAAAAATGACTTCTTTTTGTGTATTTCAATTTTTCTTCATCTGACAGATTTAAAAATACAGCTTGGTGACCTTACCTAAGGATTGGGGCTTGGCACATCAACCCTTCATATATACCACTGTTTTTTCTTGCTCTTGCACTGAACTTGAGAGCATGATCCTAAACATAATTAAGCATCCTTTAATGTTCACTGGCATCTGTGATGCAGATTTCTCTATACCTCCTCCTGTCAATCATTTGTTGTGCTGTTCCCATTCAACTGTCTTTTCCCCTTTTCATCCTAAAATATTAGATGAAAATTGTAGAATGAATGATAATATTTGAGGTTCTTGCAAACAGGGATTATCTTTTAAGGTAACTTGCATATAGATATCTCTATTGTACAGAATTTTCAATATTTTCCTCCTGATCTTTGAATTAATTATCTGTTCATTGTCATTCTTCAGCATACTTATTTGAGGCTAGAACGTCTTTCTGAGTTTGAAGATGTTCTGGAAGACTTTTCTTGTATTTCTGCATATATTTCCATCCTCATTGACTTTACAGATGCTGTAATATTGCTTGTTCTCTCTTCTAACAATTCTCTGAAATTGCTTGTCTTAGTTTGTATAAGTAGCAGTAGTATTTATTTGTTCAATCAATGATCAGCAAATTTAAAAGAGCAGTAACAAAATGAAGCAAATTAATATGGAATACATATTAAAGACAAATCACATAATGATATTACATTCACATCTCTATTACCATATTAATATATCAGCTAGTCAAACAATGATAAATTGTAAAATGGAAAAAGTATAAAATAGAGTAAATATACTGTAGAAATATACTAATTAAAAATAACTATCTGAAAGTGATATTATGGATAAAAGTGAAAACTTCTTAAACCAATTACTTTTTTAGCCATTTTTTGTCTTATTTTCATTACGGCAACACAAAATTTGGCTACTGCCCAGGTAAATGTTGGATAAATGTTTCTATTTAGTTTTTATTGTTTTAATTTTTGTTATTTTTTTATTGAGATGGGCAACTATAGAAATTGAATGAATGAATGAATGAATAATAGTGGGTTTTAAATCCTGCAACAAATAATTCAGATAAAATATGTCTGAGCTGATATTATCAAAGAAATGGTAATAGAATCATTAAAGAAAGGATGCTAAAAGAGAGGCAAAATGAAATGTGAATGACAAAAATTAAAATAATGTTGGAGAAACAATGGCAGATAACAGTACAGTTATCTCATGTTGAGTTATCCAGTGGTGTATTGTTCTCTGGCAAGTAGTCCCATGTCAAGTCAGCTGGGGCAAGTCGGCTGGGGCAAGCTGGGCAGGGCAAGCTGGGCAGGGCAAGCCAGCCGTGGTGAGTTGTCCTAGACCAGTGGTTCTCAACCTGTGGGTCGGGACCCCATTTGGGGTCGAAGGACCATTTCACGGGGGTCGCCAAACAACGCAGTCCACCATTTTTCCCCCTTTTCCTTAGCTGTGCTACTCCCTTTTATTCTATTGGCTTTTGAAAGCCAATAGAATAGACTCTCTTGAATAGAGTCTAATTCTATTGGCTTTCAAAAGCCAATAGGAATTGTCCAGCTGTCTCTGCCCTGCTGAGCCCGCCAAAAGTCCCATTCTGCAAACGGTGCTGCACCAGTTGAGTAGTCCTCGACTTACGACCAGTTGAGTAGTCCTCGACTTATGACTGGTTGGGGGTCGCAGCATTAAAAAGGTTGAGAACCACTGTCCTAGACTGATCCAGGTTGTTTTCATCTGTTTCTTGGTGTTTGGTAGGTTTTTTATATTCATCCTTACAACTGCTCTGATTTCATTTCACCATTTTCATTTCACCAATGAATTTCCTGAGGTTTAAGTCTTCAAAGCAATTTAAAATGTTCCCCTTGAAAATAGTGGTCATATGCATAATGAAAATTGGAAGCTTTATTCTTCCACTATAGTTTGGCTTGGCGCTTGCACACGGGGTGTTTGTGTAGATTTCATAATTAGCTCCTGGCCATATCTTTGCAGTTATAGCTGAGCTCTTCCATCTCCTTGTACCAATAATATAGTCAATTTATATTTGTTGAACTCTGTCTTGTGATATCCATGTAACACAGGTATCGTTTTGATTGTTTGAAGAATGTGTTAATAGTTAAACAGATCATTGGAATGGCAGAAAATAAGATAATTCTCCTACGTCATTTACATTTTTTAAGCTATAGAATCCAGCTATATTTTCTTTTCTTACTATTTCCAGCTTGGACATTTCAGTTACTACCACAAGCAGCACATCTTGCTGCACTCTCTGTTGATTTTAGGTTGAACTTGATTATAGCACCTGTCAACTTACCCTTTTTCTGCATCCATGGTTAAAGCATAAAGTTGAATAACTGTCACATTGAAGAATTGTCTAATTGATTTTATTCAGTCATTGGTTACATTGTATCCAAGTATTCTTGTTTTTTTCCATATCTTGGATAGCAAAGTGTCCAATTCCAGTGAACTCCCATTTACTGATTCCTTTTTTAGTCAATGTGTGTTCAATTCATTTCATCTTTCACTCTATTGAGCTTCCTTATGATCATGCTTCTTATGTTCCATATTCCCACTTAATTCTGTCTTTGCCACTGTGGACCTTCTTTTTCTGTATGGCATCATCAGCCATTAGACATCTTGGAGGCTCATAAACATCATTAGTATCCCAACAAATCCTCAGCAATCTCTTAGTAGTATGTTGAATGCCATTCAACTTTAGCTGCCCACCATCCATCACTACATCATCAATATCTTTATATTCCAACCATGTGGTTTTCTTGATAAAACTGAAGAATGTTTACTACAACCTCTACCCATACAGTATGAAATCATGCCTTTGCTGTTATCTCTAAAGTGGTTGTCCACTTCTCCCTATATCATTGGTGTCCAATATAAATGCCTGCTTTAGCTGGGCAGCTGGCTGACCTTCATGCTTTGGTTGACCTTCTGGGTGCATATACTTTTGGTATAAACTCCCATCATTCTTCACTCATCCATCCCAGGTACAACCCCCTCCATGATGAGACAGGATAGCAGGACTTGAAGCATTATTTATTCAATAACCATAAATAATGAGAAGTTTAGAACAGTCTTTTCAAAACCCAATTTGGGGACATGGCAGGCCATTATTTAAATGAGAATGCATAATAGATGGAACCAGCTATCTGTAAATTCTTCTTTTGAAGTTAGTTTTTGAGCCAACCTCATTCTCTGCCAGAGTTACTTTTTAGATTCTAGCAGCAGCATTATTTCTGCAAACACTTTCATGTGTGGCTACTTTTGTGTTGCTGCTTATAAGAACTTTTATGAAATTCTTTTTCATACCCATGAAACCTGAAAATGGAGCAAGATTCTCACACTGCTTAGTAATATGCCCAACAATTTTTCAAGTAATAATCAAACCTTATAGTCTTTGTAGACTTTCTACTTTTGAATTATTATGATTGGTCATACAGTCAGCCTGATGTTTTGATTGGATTTGGTATTTTTACCCACCTATCAATTCCTTCCCAAATAATATTTAATAATATTATTAATATTAATAATATTAAAAGTATTGTCAGAGGATATATGCTATTCCGAGTAAAGCTGCCTTTTGCAATTGATTGATGGTGATGTCAATGCCGATTGTATTCAAATGGTGCTCCCAATTGTTTTGGGGCTGCACCCAAGGCACATATTACTATTGGTACTATCTTTGTTTTCTTTTGCTGCAGTCATTCTAGTTTTATTTGCTGCTCTCTATATTTTGTGATTTTTTCTCTAATTCTTTCTCTTCTCTTCCGCTGCCTCCAAGTGTTGCAATCTAGACTTTTTTGTCTTTCTTATCAACAATTGTTGGGGTATGGTAGATGCTTATCTGTTTAAATTCTAAGATCTCAGAGCACGTTAGGGTCTTTATTTTCTATTATTTCTGTCTATTTTGTGGTCTCACCAGTTCTTGCTTGCAGGCAAAGCACTTTCTTCAGCTTCTTTATAGCGGCAGCATATGCTGTCTGTTGCTGTTTTCTCAGTTCTGGCTTTATATGCATTTATTCTTAAGACTTGGTCTTGGGCAGCCAGAATTATCTCTTCTGTCTCTTTAGTCAACTTTCCTGCTGTTTGCCATTGTTGGTATTTTTGTTATCTGCTTTGCCCGCTATTTTTTTTAATATACCGGCCATGTAATTCTTTGCCTTGCGATGTCTCTTTTTCCTTCTTCATCCCACTTTTATTATTTTTATAAAGAAGTCAAGGAATCAAACATACTAATACTCCTCCCTCCTCCTATTTTCCCCACAACAACAACCCTATGAGGTGGGTTGGGCTGAGGGAGAATGAATGGCCCAAAGCCATCTAGCTTGTTTTCCTGGTTAAGCCAGATCTTG